ATAGCCCAGGAGATATATATATATATATATATATATATGTGTGTGTGTGTGTGTGTGTGTGTGTGTGTGTGTGTGTGTGTGATATAATTAGTACTAATATTCTTAAGAATCTGGCTAATCTTTTTGTAGCAATATGAAAATATGTTAGATGAGAAATAGAGATTTTTAGTTTTTAGTTACGACCTGAGTAATTCCAAGAATTGTTATATCTTGAAATAAATTAATTTTAATAATTTCCCAAAGTAATAAATCAGTACTATTCCTTCACAATATTTCTTTCAGGAGAAAATATGGAAAATGAGCAGAGGAAAAAAGAAGATTCAGATTCTGAGGTAATATTTGTAAGGTCTTATATATCAAAAGAAAGAAGATCTGAAAAACGAACTGCACATCACATGAGAATTACCAACAGAGATGTTCCCAAAACAGAGCCATGTGTTGAAAGTGAGTCTCCTCTAAATTTACACAATATGTATCTTCTGATAATCTTGGAGAAAATGTATCTGATATTTTATAGAATTCAGCTCCAGTAGAATAATAAAGCAGGTAGAAATTCCAGCATGCAACATTTTGTAGATTTCTTCTACAACAAATAACCTTTTCAGTAGAATATTCTTCAGGTACTACCTGCATAGTTTCTGTGAGTAGAAGCAATTGGGTTTATATTGTAAATGGGATGAGGTGACATCTCAGTATATATTGAGATGTCTTGTATTGTGACTAATAAAATTTGCCATTTTCATTACTCTCACTGGTATTATTTATTATGTTAAAAATCCAAGAGTTCTACTCAATATGAAGTATTGCAACATGTTGCACACTATAAACAAGCAGATACAAAATTGGGAAGAAATGTGTTAGAATTGGAATAATTTTGAATTTGAGAACTCTAAGTAAAAGTGTTAATGTCACACTCACCTGCAAACAAGATACTAGGAATATTGATAAATACCTCACAGTTCTCTCCAATAAAGGTGTGTAGACCACAATGTCAAGAATAATGACACTGAGAAATTTTGCTTACTTCTCTACTTCTTACTCTCTCTAAATGAGAAATATGCATTATTATTATTTTATTATTATTATTATTATTATTATTATTATTATTATTATTATACCAAAGACAACTAAATGGATTAACGTTTTCTACCAATACAAAAATCTTAGCCAGAGAAATTGCACATCAGATCAATTACTAGATATTATGGATATACAAGGCAATGTAGATAAAGCAAACTCTCATAGTAAACTCAAAAAAGGGAATCTTCAAGAAAATTTCTGTGCACCCAAAAGTAATTCTGTGGAATGTTTATTATTATTATAATTATTATTATTATCAAAAACCATTCAGTCTACATTTCTTATTTACCCCCTGTTAGGAAATAGTATTCCCTTCCTTTTAAAACATATATCCGTTACATTTTTACACATTGTTTTTGAGACATCAGGCATGCATGACTTTAATAGCACAAAGTAATGATGAAAAACTATATACTGAAGTGGATCCAAAGCAAGAACAGCTGTTTCTGTTCTTGTTGAATAGTTCTTAATGTTTTGGAGACATTTGTGAATAATCACAACCAAGGGAAGAACATGAGAGTTTACTTACATGTAGTAGGGTCTAGTGTGATGATGACAAGGATATGGCCAAATCTCCTAAAACTAACTGGAAATTTCACAAAACTAATTATCTGACCCAATGTTTCACTTTTGAAAACATAGTACTACTTTTTCCCTTCTAATATGTGTGGAGAGTATTACTAAAAAAATGACTAAAACTTGACTTTCTTTAACACAGTTTCATATACATCCAAAGAAAAATCTACTGAAATAGTTGAGTTGTTTTGTATGCCTTTATGTGAATTTAAATATTATGTTTAATCATTGAGACTAATAAGCAATTCATCTAAATTTCAAAATTCTTTTAGCTTTATAAGTTGTTCAAGTTTTTTTTAAAACTTTAAGGAATTGTTTCACTTTGCTCATCTCTAAAATATTCATAATTTAAAATAATTCTGCATATTTAAGACCATAACATGGAAGGAATATTAAAGGATTATTATATATTAGTGAAAATGACAATAATGTATTTTAGCTAAACACTAGCAGTGGGTATTAATTGCATTACACTTACTTGGTCAAATGAATCAATTTATTGTAAGCTGTAAGAATTTATTTGGAATACCTATCACATGGTATATAATTTTATGAAAATGGTAAAATGCTAGAGATTTCTACAGTTTCTGTTTAAAATTTTCTCCAAAATTTCCTGTGTTAATATTTTAGATTTTACAGACTGAAAAAAATGTTTATAAACATGAACTCTGTATATAATACGTAGAAAATTTATACTTTCCTTTTGAGAGTTGCTTCTGAAGTAAAGTACCAGAAAACTACTTTGTGCCAGATATGATTATTTCAGGCTTTTTATTTCTTCCTCCCATTTATGGTAGCTCATGGAGAAGACCATTTGTTTTTTGTTTGTTTGGTTTGGTTTGGTTTTGTTTTGTTGAACTACACACAATGAGATTCCAAGAATTCAATGAGTTTCAAAGCAGAAAACTTTTTAAAGTTTCTACAACAAAGAGTGCCTTTTCAGTAGAAAATTCTCAGATACATCTATTCAATATGAATATGGGAAATGTCGTATTTTTGATGTAGCCAGTAAACATAGCAAGATGTATTATTTTATTATAATTTTGATGTGTACTTCTCCAAAGTATAAAAGTATATGTTGCTTTTAATATGCTAGTTGATCTGTGTACTTCTCTTCTGAGAATTCATAAACACAGCATCTTCAAAAGAAAACAAATATGTTTCACAACCTTAATCTATAAGTCTCAGTAGAGAACAATAATTTTTGCTATATTAGTCATATGCTAACATTTCTTAAATGATTATGAATTGACACAGTTGAGGATGTGATTACACTAATAAACATTCCAGGTGTAAAGTAAAGTAATAAACATCCCAGTGAAGAGACTCTAAGAGTTCTACCAAATACTGTAGGACATACAAGACCACTTCCAAATAAAGCCACATGACCCCCAAAATCAATAGTTATTATGTTGAGAAACCTTGCTCTAACCTCAAATCAACTGTTTCTTTTCCAATGGGAAATAAGAAATTTTACAGTTTAGCAAATGTTGAGTAAAATACTTTGGACCCTGAACATGCTATTATATGCATGCAATGAAAAGTCTACTAACTGTCAGGTACAAAGGGAATCCCAGTTACTCAAAAGACTATGGCAATCCTAAAATGACAGTCTTGTTTCTGCTGATGATTGACTACAAAGAGACTACTAAAATGATTGCCGATGAAGAGATAAAAGCCTCCAGTTGGCATTCCTCAGGACCCAGTAAAGTGTGTTTCCGTCAGCCAGAAAGTGGCACTTCCCTTGGCATATATATTTGGTTATATATTGAAGACAAAAGTAACTGTCAGGTACCTCTGGTCCCTGGTAGCATATACATGTTATGAATACCATACCAAACCCCCTACACTAGCTTTCTGGCACTTCTCATCTCCTGTATTATTCTTCCACTATGTTAGTTCCCAGACTGTTCCAGGTATCCAGCGCTCCTTCCACCTCAATAACTTATAACTTGCAGTACTATCCCACCATTTTAGATATTTTGTCTGTTCCAAAGAGAGGGTCCTGGAGTTCACCATTTGATATTCCTGATGGCTGTGCTTGTTCTCTCTTTAATATCTGCTTTCTCCTCAACCATGCAATGGTCACTTTAGTGGTTTCTTCACTGTGAAATCACTTACACTACTCTAATACTTTGTTTTTATTTTAACAAGATATTATATGTAGTCCAATGGATTACTATGCTCATTTTATCTGATTTGATATTTCAGGCCAACTCAAAATCTTGGTAACAATATGAGTTATTCGTGTTATTTCAAATCTTTTTATATTTACTTGCAAGTTTCAGTACACTTCAAACAGTTTCATGCATTCTCAAAGGGACATCACTCAAGACCCTAAAAATAAATCATAAATTAATGAACATCGGATAAAATAGATATTTGAACTAAAACACTAGTATTAAATCTTAACTGCAGCATATTTGCTTGACCATTTCAGTATCTTTATCATCGCCTAAAAGAAATTGACTTTTGATAACTCCTAAGGAGGATATTTACAAAGACATTTTCTGCTTTTCTCTAAGATGTTCCTAAATTTATCGAAGAAAATGTTAAGTTTTCGAACAAGAATTTGAATTATCTTTTTCTTACTTTTAAATCTAGATTGTGTCATTGACAAATGTACTGATTCTGAAAATATAAAATCTTCAGGAAATACCTAACTCTTCAGGCTCTTGTTTATGTGCTTTCTTTTTAGTGAAAATAGATTCTTCTCTCATCAATACATCTCAATCAATTTTTGCTCCCTTGATCCTACTTAGATCTTCCCCTCCCCACCTCCTCTGTATCCACTCTGTTCCTTAAGAAAGGATCATGGCTTCAAGAGACAACAACCAAGCACAAGAAAGGAAGACACAATAAAACAATTAAAAAGCGTTCTTATTGAAGCTTGACAAGGAATCCAAAAAGGAGAAAAAGATGCACATAAACAGGCAAAGAAGTCAAAGATGCACTTGCTCCCACTGTTAGAATTCTTACAAAATTAACAAGCTAATAGGCATAAAATGTATACAGAAGACCTGGTTAATGTGGTTTATCAAACAAATATTTTGACAAATATTTTATGATGGGTCTAATTATTAATTATTTCCTACTTCTCTCCATTTTGTTACATCAGGTAAAGAAGACCCTTTGCATGATATGCTTCTTTATGATATTAATAGTTCCCAGTCAACTACTTTTGTACAACATGAAGTTATGGCAGAAGAAGAACAAACAGAACACCAATCTTGGAGAGAAATATCTCTGAACAAGTCACAAGATTCTAATTTCATGAAAGGAGATAGTGTTAATAATAATTATGAGAACCCAGCTCTAAAATATGACCATTTATATTTTGCAAGACTTCTTGGAGAAGAAAATATGGAGAACAACCAGAAGCAAGTGAAAAATGTTGGATCTAACTCTCTGTTTAAAAGGCCCCATATATCAGAAGGAAATACAACTGAAACATCGATGGAAGTTGTACCTACCAGAAGTCAGATAAGAAGAAGACAAGAAAATCCAGATAATTGCAGAGAAAGACCATGGATGGAAAGTAAGTTGCATAAATTAAAAACATGGTTGCTCCATGGTAAGGAAATGTCTTATTGTAGATATGAGAGACAGGATAACAAGTGGGTTTAGAAAAGTTCAAAATATTGGCCGCATACTGGACATGGGCAGGGAGATGGGGGAATATCAACAGAGAGAAAATAGAGAAATCAAAATGAAAACATCAGGAGCAAGAGAGAAGGAGAGTGAGATTAGCCAGATTACAAGTAGGATCTTTTGCTAGAGGAGGGAATGGCCAGATTATTGATGTGGGGCTTTGAAATTCATTTCTTAGTAGGGACTAGGGGAGCCTGGAGACTAATTCAGACCTTGATATACTGACTTAAAAGTAATATGATCCTTCTACAAGAGGTAAAGGAAATTACTGCTTTTGGTAGCCAGGAAATTGACCTCATAAATACTTTAGGTATGCTAGCTTTTGCCAGCCTGCCAGAAATCTCCTTATACTTAGGTTGGGTTTCTTTCTAGATATTTTGACTACCTTTTAGAATTTGGGGAACTGATGTTTCCTTTGGACTGGATGCAAGTCAGCATTAATTTCAAGGAGTAAAATCTTGGGTTTTTTTGTTTTTTAAATCAATTTCTCTGCCAAAGAATGACTGTTGAGTAGCCACCATGCTATCACTTATCTACTCTGGAACAACCAAGAGGGCTTCTGATTTTTTCAAAACATGCAAAGGAAATGTCCTCAGAAGAATTATTTTGACATAATTTCAGATTTTATACTAAAATCTGTTCTAACCATAGAATTTACATTTATTTCAAAATTTGGAATATGGATTATTACTATCATGTCAAGGGTGATTAAAACAGTTTTCATCATGAAAATGGTATTGTATGAATCCAATAGAAAATACAAGAATGCTTTAGATTCTTCAGCATACACTGTTAAATACTACATTAGGTCCAATGTATTGATTTGGTATTACATGCAATTTGTGTTAATTTACAATCATCAAAACTTAACAAGCATATAGAAAATTACCACAAATATGTCCTCTCTGAACATAACTTCATACTTGTTAGTATTTTGTTCAGTTGCTAATGAGATGTAGCACTGAAAGTATATCTCTTGTCTTTCCTAATGCTTAATTAATCATTAAAAGTGTAAATAAATTCTGATGACTGTCTTAGTTGGGTTATTGCTCTGCTGAAACACCATGAACAAAAGCGAATTGGGGATGAAGGCCACATTTTATCTTATAAAATATATCTTTGTGTTTAACACTTACATTCTGATATACTTGTAAATTTTTGTAAGCCACTTTCCCTTTCTTTCTCTTCCATAATGAAACTGGAAAAGGATAATGATTTCTGCAGTACATTATACGAATTAATTTTGTGAGTTTTAAGTGTTAATTAATTTGATGTAATTTACATTAAAAATTGTCAAAAAGACATTCAAATGTATTTAAACTTTATTTCATTTTTCAGTACCAACAGTACTCTTATACTAATAAGATTACACATATTATCAAAATTATGTTACATTGTAGCCTCAAAGTAATTCCATGGGATAATGAAAATGACATGATAATATGAATTTAATTATGTAACTGGTACTGAAACTTACCTAAAGTATACATTAATTGTCTATATGAGTATCCTGACCCTAATATATAATATAGTGGCATTTGACATGCCTTCCATAATAAAATATCAAAATTAAACACCTTATATTCTTCTTTGTGTTTTCTGTCTCATAGATGGTGTGGTTAATATACTAGGCAGAAGATATTATGCCTACATGTGCCTTTCCATATCTTAGTACTGGAAGGGGCTGTCAGCTATCTTTCCCTGGCATTACTTTGGCCTGAGAATCTTTGAACAACTGAAGAATTAATGAATCTCACTCTAGCATGACTCAGACTAGATTTCCATATATATGAGTAAATGTAGTTTTGCTCATATTTACAAGAGTATAGGGCTATAGAATTTGGATTGTAGATTGAATGACCTATGAGGGAGTAACCATCCATGTAAAAAGCTACCTATTCACACACTCAGCAACCATTCACTGTATAGTGCTATACAAGTGTTACCCTATCCCATTCATGTGGGCTGTTAAGGTCATTATGCCTCTTGTTTAAACAACCAAATTGAAAAATGGCTTCTTGCAATCATTCCCATGAAATACCAAAAAAAAAAAGACTTTTAATTATTTAAAATGCCAAATTTGCTATTTCATTGCACTCATTGCACTGCCAATCTCTATAGTTATGTATCCAGGGTTCACTGTGAGTTTTTTTTTACCCCTTCTTAAATGTTTTAGATGTCAATCCCAGTTCCCTTAACCTCCCATCCTCCCCTAACACCCCACAAAACCCCAGTCCAACCCCTTTCTGCTCCCCAGGGAGAGTGAGGCCTTCCATCCATGGGGAGTCTTCAAAGACTTTCATATCGTTTTACACAGAGCCTAGGCCCTCCCCCATGTGTCTAGGCTGAGAAAGTATCCCTCTATATGGGATGGACTCCCAAAGTCCATTCATATGCTATGGATAAATACTGATCCATTAATAGAGGCCTGATAGACTGCACAGTCCTCCTAACTAACACCCATATTCAGGGGGTTGGGGTTGGTCTTTGCTTATTTCCCAGTTAGGGTTAGTTGGGTTCATCCTTGTAGATCTCTGTGCATTTCCCTAGTGTCAGATTTCTCCTTAAATCTATAATGGCTCCCTCTATTATGGTATCTCTTTTCTTGTTATCCTCTATTCTTTTCTTGTCCCAATCTTCCTGTTCCCTCATGTCCAGCTCCCCCCTCCTTTTCTCCCCTTCTCTTTCTCCTAAGTCCCTCTCCCCTCCCTCCATGCTCCCAATTCGCTTGGAAGATAGTGTCGTTCTCCCCTTCTCTGGCCACCATAGATTTCTTTCTTAGAGTCCTCCTTGTTTCCTAGATTTTCTGGCAGTTTTTAAAGTCTGTATTATTTCTGGTGTGTGTGTGTGTGTGTGTGTGTGTGTGTGTGTGTGTGTGTGTGTGTGTGTTTAATTTTGGTCTTCCTTACTCCCTCTGCTAGTACATGTACTACAAGGACTCTTCTCTCATCTCTACCTTTCATCTGTAATTTTCCTCCTTCTAGTTATTCTGTACACATTTATGAGACTCACTGTTCATCTTGAGCTCCATCTCTAAAACTCATATTTGTATTCACTTCACACTATAATTACCTCCAAATGGCCAATAGCATATCAGAATGAAAATTTCACTTTTCTTCTTTAGCTACTGACAAACATATTTTTCTGTCATCACTGACAGATAGCTGTTCACCCATTATCAAGTATTTAGTCCCTGGAAACTATACCATTCCTTGATTTCATGTGTTCTACAATCCAATTTTTCCCTTTATATTACTATTTTTAAAGCAATACTTCAAAGCACTGTTACATTCTGGCTCTCTATTTTGGAGTTCCTTACTATTTTTGTCCCGTTTGATAGTCAGAAGAACAGTCAATCATTTGCAGGATGTGTCTAGTGATATTTCTTAAGAATCTGGCTAACCTCTTTTTTATATTATTAAAATACAGCTGATAGTGAAGTAAAAATATAACAATCATGGACAGCAATACTTTACAGTAATTCAAAACTTCCCAGTATATGAAATGAGTTAAGTGTTAACCTGTGTGATACAAGCTCAACTGCATGAAACACTATTGTTTGCTAATTTTACAGGAGAGCTTATGGAATATAACAAGAGACAAAGGGAATATCCACAATCTCAATCAACACTGACCACTGAATCTAAAGAAGATGAACCTGAAATAGTGATGGTATATAATAGATTTCAGAAAAGAGCAAGGACGAACCTACAACTTCCAAAAGCCAATGATTGGAATAGATGTCAGTAACCTTTTAGTTCTCTAAATTCAACACTTTGGAAATTTCTTTATAATATATTACTTGAATATTTTGAGTATCTTACAGCAAATGAGGATGTGGCAATTTATAGAAGTTAGTAGCACATTTTTTCAAAATATGAGAATATCTGAGTTACAAAATATAGTGCTTCTTTTTACACTTTTCTAACAAGAATGTTATCAAAACACTATACACAATAAAGGTTTGTAGGAGTAAGGTTCTATTATTTTGTTTTGTTTTCTCCATTATAAATTATAAACTGCATGTTCCTTTAATAAGTAATACCAATGGTGGTTGTATAATATTTTAAGTTAGAAAGAGAGCATCCTTCCAACTATAATTTTTATATGCACTTAAGTCCCTAATTGCAAATGATGTTGACCATTCTTTCATGTCTGTTGGCCGGTTGTATTTCTTCTCCTGAGAATTCATATAAAAGAAAATTTATATCAACAAATTAAATTTTTCATAATTATGTTCTCCACCCCAGAAACATCTGTTAATATCTGCAAAACAATTTTGGTTGTGATAATAGGTAGTATATGTGGTTATGTTAATTATACACAGTGTTACAAGGCCAGAAATGGTGCCAATCATCTTAAAAACAAAGAATGTTACCCAATACATCCAGCAGACGCTCACTACAGTTGGTGCTTCACTTAAAAACCATACATGATACAATGAATTGGTGTTTTTCTCTTTGGGTGCAATAATTAATATTGCTATGAAAAATGTACACTATAATGTTTTATTTTCTTAAGATGGTTTCTTACATTTCCAATGAAAGTATGTAATCCATGAGCCTGGAAATAAAGTTACAGATTAATAAATAAAAAATATGAGTAAATTTTAACCTCAATATTAGTGTTGTATCTTGAGTAGAACTTCTCTTTGAGAATATGCAGATTGGTCAGCAGTAAATTTCACCTTGTATTATTCCAAAGGAAATGTGTTCAATTTATTTTTCTAATTTTGGTTATCTCACAAATGCCTGTGACTCTAGATCCAGAAGATCTGATTACTGGAAGCTCCAAGAGACATCTGCACACATATGACATACATTCAATGACAAATATACACATGTGCATAACATAAGTAAATGTTTTTACAACTTTTTTAAAGTTTTGAGAACTATTATTAGTTTGGTTCTATTTATGTCTGGATGAGATTGCTCTCCATGGTGATGTATAACATTCTGAAACATTGAACAAAAGTACCCTCTGAGTCACTTTAAATTTCCATAAATTTGTCTAGAATAAGCTAATTCACAGAAAATTTCAAAATCCTCTTGCCTTTACTTATAAATTTAGATTTTTTTACTTTGAAAAAGTATTGATTCTATGATTAAAATATCTGAATTTTTGGGTGCTTGTTTTCTTTCTTTTTTAACAGTGGCAAAGCAGCACTTGTTCTAATTTTGACAGTTCCTTTCTGATTAACATTCACTTTGTGTTTACAGGTGGAGCAAATACTTCAAATGTTGTGCCTGGTGGTGAGTCTGAAAGAGGCCAACATACCTCCTTCCGACAATCTGAAGGACAGACACAAAGGGAGACAGTGAGGTGTGGGTTTTCAAAAACAAAATATCAGAGTAATACAAAGAATTATATCAGTGAAGAGATGAGATTTACTTTTAATAATGAGAATTTAAATCCAGAAAATGACTATGCATTACTTTCAAGACTTAGAAGTCATGGCAGTAATAGAAACAGCCAGACGCAAATAAACCATCTTCAACCTAAGTCAACCTATACTCCAGAAGAAGGTACAACTGAAATTTTAGTGGATAACACAATGAGTAGAGATAGAGAATGTACCAGAAGTGAGAGTCCAGATGTTGTGATAGTTGGAGAAGTGAATGAAAGTCGGATCCCTCAA